AGCCGGAAGAAGGGGTTTAGTAAATAGACAACACTTGTATTACAACTGTTTGGAAACCCACCACTTGAGCATTTGCAGGACCAATCAGAACTGTATAACTTAACAGCTTTTAGCAAATTAGCTAACCTTATTGAATTCTATAAAAGTAATCGAATGTTTATAAATATGTAATATACATTATATTGAAAAACCATGTACTGTAAATATGTACACATATTTCTATAAATTATACAGCTTGGGTATATATTTTGAAAAAATAATTTCAAAAAGTTTTAGAAATTTGTAAAGAAAAGTCTGCATCAGTTGTCAATAAAGTTAAGTTATAAATTTGTTTAACATATGATAAATAAAGTAATAAAAATAATTTCAACGCTTTTAATAATATATATGAAACAATTTATTGCACTAAAACTAAAAAGATTAATTCATTAGCGTTGCAGGACATAATGTACCTATTATCAACATTTTAAAATAGACAATTTAAATTTAAATGTATATTCACCAACAAAATTTGCGCTCACATCGTTATCTCAGGTTTTGAAAAGCGAATTAAGTGGTTCAAAAATTCGTGTAACCGTAAGTATGTTCAAATTATATTATAAATATCTTAATCTGTAAAGAACTAAGTTACATATAACATTACCGTTTGAAATATTAATTAAATTTTTAATTTTATAGTATATACATTTATTAATAGAATTTGGAGTATATGTAACATTAACAATCGACAATCAAATTAATATTATTAATCATAAGATTATAATATTAAAAATAATTATTTTATTAGTTTGCAAAGCAATTTTTAAATTAATAGGAGAATGAAAATGTTCATCTTATTTCAGATTATTAGTTCAGGTTAGGTAAAGACAGAAATGGCAAATTTAAGTGATAAATTAACCTTTATATCTATATTATTTCATATATAATATTTTTCTATATATTAATTACCAACAGAATCATTTAATATTAAATGTTAACTTCATATACACAAATAAATAAATTGTTCATTAAATGATAGGGAATATATTAAATTGTATTTATAAACATATTTAAAGATTCTTTTCGAACACTATCTCGATTATAATCAAGAACTTAATCATTTAATTACAATTTAAATTATTTAAATTAGTAATCTAATAATGTGGATTCTGATGAACATCTAGTCGATAAAACAATGAATTATTAATATAGGACATTAATAATATAAAATTATTATAAGTTATACATCTAGCAATTATCTATTATTACAAATTTATTTTAATATTTGATCAATGGCTTCTAATTTTAACGTTTGTTCGTTCTAACTTGCGTAAGCATACAGTATGTTATAGAATTTATTAACACACAGCCCTTTATAATACTAAGTACCAAGCAATTTATAATTAAATTCATAAGAACCAGTTGATACATCAATGCAGTCTTGATCTAAATAATTGGGTTTGGTGCCGAAATCTTTTTTAGAGATATGCAAAAACTATTCGCGGAAATATACTTGCACTTGTTTTTCGATTATTTTAATATGTTTGTGGTGAGTTATATAACATGACTAAGTCACTGAAATTAAAAGACGTAAACTAATCATAATGGGTGAGTTGGGAAATATTTTAAAATAAAAAATAATGCCTTGACAAATATTTTTATCGGCTCGTAATAATTTTATCTTTATCTTAATATATCTTTAAAGCTATTAGTGCATATTTCTTTGCATTATAACATACTAAATATTTATGAAATTTTTAATTAAATGGAAACTCAAAGTGTATTAAAGAATAATTTAATATTTTATATTTCGAAAATAAAATAAGAATTTATTTTTTATTTATTTAAAATCATTCCAGAAATAATTAAACTACTAACAGTTAGTCTTATCATTGGTATTATGAATGAGTGTCGTTCAATATTTTATAGTTTAATGAAAAAATTACACATCACATAAGCGCGCGGTCGAAGACGCCCCCACACGCATGCACACACACACACACGCCACGTATATATATTACCTTACTTACTAATAAATTTCTAGAGAATGATAAAAGATTTTTAAAAGAATTAGAGTCTATTATAGAAATTAGTATTCTATTCGGAAATTAAAACATATTTAAAAGGTAAATATCAATTTCAACTTATGATAATTTTGTTTTACAAATAAGTACTGTACAATAGAACTATACGTATTTGTTTTTAAAAGTTGTATATATGCTTAAAAATTTGTAAATGCATCGTCACGTCCTATTTAAGGTTGAATGAATGTATAATATTTAATATTAACAAAACAAAAACTGTATACGTAAAGAGTAATGTAATTTCTTGAGTATTTGACTTTTTCACTTCAAAATCAATAATTAATAAATACAGGAAAATTTGAATAAATATGTCTCAGCATTTTATTATAATTTTCATTAAAATTAAATGAGGAAATAATTAGTTCATTAAGTATAAATATGAAGTCTCGTCATTTTTGTAATATGATTTACTAACCTTGTTTTATATCTACCGAAATCATTCAAACGATAATTTATATTTGTTCTTTTCAAATTGTATTCGAATCGGTAGTAAGAAGAATAAATAAAAATAACTATAATTAATAAAAAAATCGTGAGATGGCGCCAGTCAATGCAGTGAATATTTAGAATTTTCAATAGCCAGGACGCAATTATTTCATTTTTCTTGTCTGTTAATTGCATTCTAGAATTATTTTTTATACTTTTCATTTCTGATTGTCATTCAAAATTATTGTTTATATCAATGAGATTTTGTATTTGATATTTAATTACATAAAGGCATAAAAATTTCATGTTTATCACACATTGCTTATTTCACATTTATTATATAACATATTTTAAAAATTAAGGAATAAATTCATGTATTAGAGTAAATTTCATATTAAATATTTATAAAATCGCTTGATTCGGGCTTGATGAATTAAGCCCTATTTTATTTGAAATATTACTATATTAAGTAAAATTATATAAGAATGTATTTTCAAGAATGTACATTTGCGTCAGATACTCTAAAAAGCATGTGACATGATGATTCCACTTTGCTATAAGCGTCAGTTTGGGTTTACTTTTACATTATATTGTACGTGCTTTTCGGATATTATTTAAGAATCGGTAAGTGAAATAATTAGCTTAAAGTAATGAAATTTTAACATAATAATAAATAAATAAATAAATATACATATATATATATATATATATATATATACATTTATTGATTATATCTAATAATATTATTTATTAAAAATATAAAGTTTTAGCTTAAAATTTTTAAATATTCAATGTCGATGCATTGAGTAACAACAAATTCAAATATTAAATTTATTTTAAAAACTGTAGTATTAGAATAATATCTTATAATATTTATATATTTTATTATTTACCATTAATACTACTATTGGATCATGAAACTAATCAAAATAATACCAAGCTAATGGAAAGAATGTCATAATCGTTATTATTTTATCAAAGATAATTTCAAAGCAAATAAAATCAGATAAAGAAAATTATTTAAATTAATTTAAAATATTGAGTTGTTTAATATTAATACAAAAAAATCGCTATTAAACGATTAATAATATATTTTCACTTAATAATAGTGAATAAATACAGTTTGCTTACGAAATTTCGTATTAACTATAAAATACACGTTCATTTTAAGTATTTAAATAAATCTTATTCGTTTACATCAACATAATTAAGTTGAAGCATAAAGGAGACCTAAGTCATTATTATGTTCTTATTTATATTCACAACTTTTTTAACATAAAAGATTACACATCAAAGTTATATTTTAACTATTCAGATATGTTACAATAAGTTATATACATTTAGATTTAATAAGATAATTTTGCTCTTCTACCGTGCGTCGTATAAGTACGTTATTATATTTAAAAATACAATCTAAATATTTTTATTTAGATGAAAATATATAATAGTTTAAAATACTATTTACATAAATGGTTAAAATTTATTTAAAAACTGGTGACTTACAAGTGCTTTACGATTATTATAGCATTTTTTTGTTCGATGCTATTTTTTTTATACTTTATTTTGTTTCATGAATTACGTTCGTTTCTGTCATATATTATTTTATTATTGATTGATGTTATTAGGCTTTACTGAAAATGTCGTTCAATTAACATTACTTACATTTCAAGACAAGTATTTGCTGCTTTATTGAGAGATAAAAATACCCACAACTACACACTCATGCACTCACTTATCACCCACTCATTCACTCCTCCACAATATTAAGCTGTAGAACAAAAAAATTATTATACGAAATTTGAATTAAATAACTCAATTATCTAAACAGTTATAAATTTAATTTGAGACTTTCTCTTAAAATTTTTGAAAATTTTTCGATTTTTAAATATCAAATTCTGAAAATCTAAGAAATTAAAAATTTTTCGAAGTAAAATGTTTCGTGCAAGATAATTTAAATTTAAATAATCTAAAGTATTCCAATACAAAATATGAATTACATAATGAAAATTAACACGGGGCGATAAATATTTTATTTAGATCATAATTTTTTTTAAGACAGATATTCTTTATAATATATTTATTTAATTTTATTAAAAAATATATTCTTCTTGTCTATAAAAAGCATCTATCTTGTTGCAAGTAATGAAAAGTGATATTCCAAAACTCCAAAACTCGGACAAACGTAATCTATACAAAAAAAACTATAATAAAACTTGATTATATAAAACTTTATTAAGGCAGTCATTAATGATGGTTCATCTTTTAAAAACTCTGATAATAAGTATATACGAGATGTAAAGCAAAAAAAGTTATATCGTCATGTTAGATAATTAATTTCCTTCGTACATAATTTTTATAAATAAATGACCAGCTACGCTTGAATCTCACTTTAAAAAATATCTCAAATGTATTGTTAGATACTTCAATAATTTTAATTTATATCAAAAACTACTTAAATATTTGTACAAGTTTAACAGATATGAAGTATAAGTAAATTTTTTATCCATGCAGATTTACAAACATGTTTGAAACAAAAGAACTAATGAGAATAATATTTGGGGCTGTACTACTTACTTGCTACAGTCAACCGACTAACAATTTAAAGATACTCGGTATATTTCCGTTAAATGGAAAAAGTCATTTTATAATGTTCGAACGTTTGGCGAAGGGTTTAGCTGAAAAAGGCCATCAAATTGATGTCTACAGTCATTTTCCATTAAAAAAATCCATACCCAATTATAAAGATTTTAGTCTTGATGGAAGTTTACGTATTATACAAAACAATATGACTTATAATGATATGTTACAATACCAGTCTCTAAATGTACCAAATATGATGAACGCCGTTGGTACTAACATATGTGAGCTTATGAGCCATCCCGTTTTTCAAAATCTTTTGAAAAATCCGCCTCGAAATCCACCATACGACATTATCATCGTTGAGGTAAATATTACTTTATATCTTCATAAAAATGTATATATAATTGGAACATATAATATGTAGTCATATAATTTCACAAAGCGATGCAGTATGTCTTGACTGCAATAATAAAGTAATTAATTAATGAAAATCAATGTGAAAATCAAATTTATCGCTTTATAAATAATTTCTTGAAATTTCTGTCATATGATAATGAAGATATCTTTCAATAGAAATTTATATGAGCTCCTCTTTTTAATTATTTCAATCATTTTTCATCGATGTTATAATGAATTTTTAATAAGCAGGAAGTACACGATTATTAAATTGGTGAACTTTCGCTGATCGAAGGGACTATAAATTATAAATAGACGAATGAAATCCTATCGCTATGGAATGGAAATAAAATGTGGAAGCTATTTGTTTATATATTGAGTTGCTCGTATAAATTACCTCATATTTTTGCTAATGGGATAGATTTCTTAAACTAAAACTTATTACTTATAATCGTTTGAAGGCTAATATTCATATTACAGAATGATGTCTTCCATTTCATTTCAATTACTTAATCTATTCGATTTTGTTATAATGAAAGACAAATATTTGTTATGACGAAAAATCAAAAACAATATAAACGCAAATAAAACATGTTGAAGTTTAAAACAGTATTGAATAAATATCAATTACGTTTCTGGTTCATTTTCCTTCAATAATTTTATTATTACATTAAATTAAAAAAAAAAAATATATATATATATATATATATATATATTAACATTTCAAATAAGAAATCCAATTTTTTATTTTGAACCTTTACTTTTATACAATGTAGAGAAACGTTAACAAATTTGAATAAGTATACATAGAAATTAAAAAATATATAAATAAAAAATTGTTTACAATAATATGCAATAAATTATTATTAATTTTAAAATAATATTTTAAACCTTTTTACAGGCATTCTTATTCAATTGTCATTTTGCTTGGGGGCGTTATTTAAATATTCCAATGGTAGGTATAATGTCAACAACAATATTAGATTGGTACCATAAATCATTTGGTAATCCCTCCATGCCAACTTTTACATCTGGATCCAACATTCTACAAATGACTTTTATGCAGCGATTAAGCAATACTATTTTTAATACTTTAATGAGTCAATATATTCAGTATCATATTCTTGGTCAAAGTAAATATATTGAAAAATACTTTGGACCTGGTTATCCTGATACAATCGAGATTCAAAAGGATTTAGATTTATTGCTGGTCAATTCACATTTTTCACTCGAAGGGATCAGAGCAAATACTCCGGCGATTGTTCCAGTTGCAGGCCTGCATATCAAGGACGATGATACAAAATTAACAGAGGTAAATTTTTTTCTACGTCATGTAAATAAATGGAACAATTATTATATTAATCAAACTATATGTTCATATTATATTAAAGAAACTAGAGTTATTTCTATCGTAAACAAATTATTATTTGAAATTCATTTATATTCATTCAATTGATATATATTATATTTAAAAATTATATAAACAATTTTATACAAAATTATACAAAATTCTGTTTTTCAAATTTTCTAAAGTCTAAAAGTATAATATGCATTTGCAGTAATTTCTTCGTAAATATTAGAAAAATAATAATTTTTCATTTAACGTGGAATTTTTATTATATTACTCTAGAAATTAAAAAATTAAGAATTCTTTTATTAACAAGTAAGTTTTTAGAAATGTGTTAAAACGTAATGATCCATATTCTACATATTCACAAATTTGTTGAAATTGATATTAAACGCTGATTGAAAAATGCATTGTGTAAAAAATTTATCCTAAGTTTTTGTTTATAATTTTATTTTACGTTTTCACTAACAAACAATTTTTAATTGACAAATCCATTTGATAAGATTTTTCATATCCATATATCCAATCCATCAAAACAAATCAATTTTATAATTGCAAACTTCTAAAGCTATTTTATTCACTTCCAATATAATTTATGTTTTACTTCGAATAGGTTTAAAAAAAATTAAGTATTTCCAAATTTAATATAATACTCTATTATATATTATGCTTTTAATATTTATTTATTCTTTTAGAAACTTAAAAAATGGTTAGATGACAGTAAAAGTGGATGTATTTATTTCTCATTTGGATCAATGGTTAGAATAGAAACTTTTCCAAATTCAGTTTTGAAAGCAATTTACACGACGTTTAAAAATATTTCACCTGTTAGAGTGCTTATGAAAATTGCCAACCCTGATGAACTACCTCCAGGTTTACCTTCAAATGTAATGACTCAAACATGGTTTTCTCAAGAACAAGTTTTAAGTACGCAAATTATAATAAAAAATTTTAATTTTACAATATATATATATATGAATAATAAAAAATGTATTTAACAAAATTATTCAGAGCATAAAAATACTAAGCTATTCATTACTCATGGAGGGCTAATGGGAGTACAAGAATCTATATATTTCGCTGTTCCGATGATTACCATTCCTCTTTTTGGTGATCAACACATAAATGCACAATGTAATGTTGATCATGGAATTTCAATACTGATTGATCATCATAATATCACTGAAGAGAGTTTTACTTCCGGGATAAAAGAAGTCCTTCACAATCCTATATACAAGTAAGTATTATAAGGTTAATGATCGCTATGATTATTTAAATACTTTCAAAGGATGTAATAATTTAAACTAGTCTTCAAAAATATATAAATAATTTTTATTCTTTATAAAACTAGTTTATTTGTAATTAAAAACTTAATTAATAAAATAAATGATAGATAAAATATCTTGATAGAAAATAAGGTTCAATGATCTTTATTTCTATTCATAATGTGAAAATTTCACAAAAATATTAAAAAATTACTAAACTTTTTTAAAGAAAAAACTTGTTTTCGTAAAATAATTTCTTATTAATAATATTGATTAATTCATTTTTTTAAATTTTACTATTAGTGTACTGTCACTGCCACTATTAATATATTACAAACAGCTATAACAATCTATTTTAATAAATGTATGTTCTAGTAATAATAGTATAAAAATCTATTTCAGCCACTTAAATGCTTATTATTATTATTAAAAAAATTATTATTTTCCATTATGCATTGTATTTCTTATTGAAATAAATTATGCTACAATTATATTAAAAAAATGTTACAGAAAAAATTCGGACAAATTAGCAAAACTATTCAGAGATCGACCAATTAAGCCATTAGATACAGCAATATATTGGATAGAATATATAAGTCGACATGGAAAAAAAGCTATACAATCACCATTAGTTGAGATGCAATGGTGGAAAGCCAATTCTCTTGATATCTACGCATTTATTTGGCTTGTTCTTTTCTTTTTCTTGTACGTTCTTCAAGTTATAGTTAAGAAAATATATAAATTATGTTGCCCTTCTAATCAAAATCGAGCTTCTAGTCTAATAAAATCCAAAAAGATTCAGTAACAGTTATAAATTATAGATTATGTATTTTCTATACAAATATTTAATTATATTGAAAATAATAAGGTAGAAATAATATATCTGTATTTTCAATCATTTATAATATAAACTTTCTCTCGCTGTCTCTCTCTCTCTCTATATATATATATATTTGTGTGTGTGTGTGTGTGTTTGCATGTATGTTTGCATTTATATATAGGTAGAGAGATATTTTTAAATAAAATTGTTACTATATATATAAAAATATTTTCATTAGGGATATTTCTCCTATATATATATATGTGTGTGTGTGTGTGTGTGTGTGTGTGTGTGTGTGTATTGGAAAAATACTCCTAAAGATATATAAAAACATAATTACTTATTTAAAAATATATTTTAAAAAGGATTTATTTTGTAAATATAAATTTTTAAGAATTTTACAAAACTAAAAAATAAAAATAGTAAATCATTTTTTCATATTGAAATATTTATTATCAAATAATACATTTTATAAAATAATACAAATTATTTACGAGATATAAAATATGTCTGTACAATGAAATTACATAATTTTATTTATATAATACTGAATTTTAATATTCCAAAAACTAAAGAAAAAAAACAATTAATAAAAAATGAGTATTTGTAGAAAATTTATGTATTAAAAAATATACATATAATATAATAAAATGAAGTGCAAACGTTAGTGATAAATAACAGTTTCCAATATAAATCAGAGACTTAATCATTTGATAAGTACAGAAATTATAAATATTATTATAAATGCTTGTGTAAAGAATGATTTTTTATTTATTGATAAGATATTTAAGCATATAAAGATAATAATTTAATTTAAAAAATTGTTTTATTACATTTTTTAATACAAAAATATATATTCATATTTTTATAAAAAATTTCAGATCTATAATTTCTTTTACTTAAACACATAACGTAATAATATATTTTTTAATACATATTTCACAGTACTGCAAATATTTAATTTAATCAATATATTATGAGTAATGAAATGTTTATTAATAGGAAACATAATATTATATTTTTTCATAAAGCCTAAATATAGAAAAATATAAATATACAACGAATAATGCAAATATGCATTTTCATATTGTATTTTTATAGTGGCTAGAAAATTTTTGTTAAAACATATTGATTTAATTTTTTATCATGTTATAATTAATGAGTATAAATGATCAAACTTTTTATCGATAGCTACATTATATCAAAACAACGTACTTTCAAGGAATTAAAGCTTCCTATTAACAGGATATAAATTGGAAGAAAATTCGAAAGATCAAAATTGCAATTAATTTTTTAAGATGTTTGATATGATAGAAAAAAACTTTAAAAAAAATGTATTAAAATATTTCTATTTTAATGAATTATCTAACATTCCAAAGACCACATTCTTGATAAATCATATAATAGCTTGATTTTTTCTTAATAGTTAACCTTTGGTTTAATAAAAGCTAAACATATAATTGAATTTTAGCGAATAATCAACATTAGTTGATAAAAATTATTTAATGTAATTAAATATTTTATTAGGAAAAATCAGATTTTTATAAGAAATTTTACAAGATATTTTTATATTATAATTTTTTAATAAAACTCAGATCAATTTCTTACTAATAGAATAATTTAAATATATTTTTAAAGAATTTAAAGATTTTATACTAGTAAGTCTATATTTCTATTTAATGCTTTACATACAAATAATAAAATATGTTATTTATATAAAATATCTTTTTAATTTTGTGTAATTTAAATTTTTTTTTATATAAAACAAAATAATAAATTTATTAACATAGATATATAAAAAGGCATATAAATTTTTATGAGATCATAATAAAATTCATGATGAATAAATATTTTAGACATTAAAAAAAATACATCATTACAATTATTTACAGAAAATCACTATTTTCATAAATATAATATATATACAAGTTTACTATTCATTTAATACAATTAACATTAATTCATCGTTGTTTAAATTACTCAATATTTCACGTACTACTACTAATGAAAGTTGCAGCCATTTCATAATTCCGAATAATATAATTTCAGCATTTTCAACAAGACCTCTTCTAATATAACTTTTGTAAAATCTGTACTGTAACATTGGACCATATATTTTGAATTTTTTAAGAACATCATTACTTGTACTTAAAGCTTCGATTACTCCTCTTCTTTTTGTATATAATGTAATTTGATTATAATTTTTAGTTAAAAAGTCATAGTATGATATGTCGACTAATTTTTCATTCATCATTTGTTTAATTTCGTTTTCACACCTTTCAATAAAAATATAAATTGATAAATAATATTGTGCAGTTACTGTATCACTACTTAATATTATCAAAAGTGATTGAAATATTTCTAAATTTTCTTTTGTAATGTAATAATTTGCTGTTATTAATTTTGAGGCATGTTTTAGAAGTAATACAGCTCCTATTTTTAAATCAAGTAAAGTAAACCAACAGTTAAAATCTACATCACAATATTTTTCATTATTAAAAACTTCGTCGTTATTATCAAAATCAGAAAACTCATTTATTCTGTCGTAAATATAATTAAGAGGTGTTTTGCCATTATTGTCTACTGCATTAATATCTAAATGCAAATCTAGCAATGCTTGAATGACTGCAACATTACCTACTTTGGCAGCATAATGCAGTCCTGTTCTTCCCTTATCATCGCACACTGGGTCCTCACCATCATAACATGCTAATAAAACATCTGTTGTAAGAGCTACTATATCTGATTCTTCATTATTATCAAAACTTTCTCCCATACTGATGACATTAATATTCATTAATTCCATATCATGCTCTGATAATAGTAGATTAAACAGATTAAAATTATGATTAACTGAAATATCAGTTTCTTCTGATTCTATAAATAGATCCATTATTTGTTTAATAATTCGTATCATTTCTGCTTGCTTTTTAGTAAATGGCTGCTTGTGTAATAAAAATGATCGATACCAAATTTTAACATTAATAAGAAAGATTTTATGATATCTTACTAAGTCGATTGTAGTTTCTTCAAGACCATGTAATAAAGAAATCCATAGCATCGTTGTATTGGTAATATCAGTTTTTTTTACTCTAAAACCATGGTTAACCATAGATTTAACAATTATTTCATCTTCAATTGAAAAACTAAGTAAACTTGTATAAAATTTATCACGTATAATGTCAAGGTCAAAATCTGGACTATATTTCAATAATAAGTCAACCATTTCTACAGATCTAGAATCTAATGCAGAAGAAAGAGGTGTATTGCCTTCATTATCTTTTATATTAATATTTGCACCAGCATTTAACAGAACATTCGCCACTTCTATATCACTCATTTTGATTGCAATATGTAACATAGTTTCGCCATCTTTAGTTTTCTGATTGATATCAATTTTGCTAAGTGAAAATAACAATGGAATTGCTTTTGGATCTATTCTATGATCTTCTTGATCCATATTTAATAATGCTATGAAATTAAAAATTAAAAAATTACACTGCATTTTATATTTGTAAATATAAGGTATAATCAAAATACATTAAATATATTTTAATTAATCATAATGTTCAATCTTATTTCATTAGTTCACATAAAAAACTGTTAACATTTTTTTTTAAATATATAAGATAATCATTGTATACTATAATAAAAAAAAATTCTGTACATAGAAAATTAAAAAATCAACTGTACTAGTGAATTAGTGTTACATACTTATTTTAAAAAACTATTTACTGAAACAATGGCGAATTGTACTATTAAGGATATATTTATTCGAATTTATTTAGTTAAAACTTGAAAAAATTATTCATTATCAAATGTATTTAAATACATCCACTTTTCCACTATAATTTAACTGAAAATTATTTGATGAAAACACGTAAATTATATTACACTAAAATAACTACTATACTTACTTGTCACCTAATCCAAGAATAAATATTAATTCTCAAAATTATGTAAATAAAAAAATTTTATAATTTATACAATATTTCACCGAATAATTTAATTCATCATTGCAAGTTCGTTCGAAATACATTTGTGTACATAATATTCCATCGTTCCAGTTTCCACAGACGACAATAAAAAAAAGATTATGGACAGTGATCATAAATATATATTACATAATGAAAATAATCATTAAATCAAGGATTTAAACCAATTGATTTGTTTCTTACTTCTTCTAAATTCGATTTTCGAAATTTTATTTATTTTTCAAGCATACGGTCACTTTTAGGACGAAAAAAATAATTCTATATCTTCTGCACTGCATATATGTGAACTAGATAAAGCCAAAATACAAAGATTTAGTTTATATAAATTAACTATATTTAATAAAAAAATAAAACAAACTCTTGAATACAAACTCTTATAATTGGTATCTCTCTACGCATTATAAATAACAAAAATTATAATTTTGCTTTCTTTCTTACATAAATACATTCAAGTAAATTTTATACGAAAATATTTTATTTAATGAAATTGAATTTTAAAAAAAATTAATTATGACAGATCTTAAGTTATTAAATTTTTACTCAATAAATATTGCTGCTTTTTAAGAAAGTTAACTTCTACATAAATTATGTGGTAAATATTGTGTTATTAGAAATTAATAAATCACACATCCGCAATACTATATTAACAATAGTTTAATTTACATTTTATAAGTAAATAATTGTTAAATTAGTTAATTTTTTTAATTACTCGAGTTGCTAAAATACTTAGTTACTAATATAAATCATTTTTAATATTAATTCTAAATTTTATTTTAATTTATCTTGATACAATTTATAATTGAGGGTTCGAATTTCGATTCATAATTTTATTAACGAATTTAGTAAATTGTCAGTGAATGATATATGAATAATTATAAAATTATTTTCTTCCAAATACAAGTATTCAACTATATGTCAGACAGTCATAAAATGTAAACTGTCTTGAATATTGCAGGATTGAGATAATAAAAAGGAGCATAAACAAAATATAACCTTATATATAAGGAAATAGATAGATTCTTACATATAAATTAAAATTAAAGTTAAATCATATTAAAATGGTTGGAAGATTTACGTTTTGAAAGAATTCTCGATTCATGAGTTAAATAAATAAAAAGGTAAATGTAAAATTAAAAAGGTAAAAAACCTGTCTTTTAAAAGTAACCTGTTTTATTTTTTATAATTTTGTGTATCATTCAAAATATTATATTTAATATGTATAGCTTATAAGACAAAATTTTCATATAATAACAGTTTGTATTATTGAAATTTAATGTAAGTAAACTAATGTAAAAATATATATCTAGAAATAATTGAAAAAATGAAAGAAATTAATTTATAGATGAAGTATGAAATCTACATCATGCAAGATAAAAATTTACTGATTAAAATTAAGCACTAATTATTAATAAGTATCTTGTTATTATTAAAAATTCTATTATAAATGAAATATTTAATTTAAAAATTACAAGCTAATAAATTTACTTTTTAAAGTGTAAGATATAACACAATCATATAGAATTTTTTTTATTCATTATGTGTATTGTGAAAGTGAATTATAAATAAAAGTGTTTATCCAGTGCAGTTCAATAAAGAATCCAACAATATTTATTTAAGTTTATCAAAATGGAGGACAAACATAATTCAATATCTAATTCAGAAGATGGATACAAATCTAATAAAGATGATATTGAAATCAATTCAATTATGTCGCAAGATCCTTTTGCACCTAATACAGCAATATTGGCTCCTGTGGAGATTGAGGAACTTGATGCATCATCTATCAATCAACTGAATTTTGACATGGGTGGTTTTGTTGAAGCTGAAGCAATAAAAATTGATAAAATTCCTGAACAACTATCGTTAAATTCTGTAGAATATCTTGATTGTAGTAATCCAGATGAAACGATATCTGATATAGAAGAACAAAATACACTTTTTTCAGAAGAAGAAAATTTGTTAACTAAACAGTTTTTAAATGGTGAATTAACATTTTCTGAATTTACTGTAAGAATGGATCAAGATATTGACATAGAAACAGAAGATCAGTCTGGGTAAATAAATTATTTAATTTAAAAGTTTAACTGAAGTTTTATAAAAGTTGCTTATTATAGAAACATCAGTAAAATTGTAATAGCATCACCTGAAGCAGATAATCAAGTTAATAATCGAAAAATTGACAAACTCAATAAAACTCGCCCTAGACGATCTAGAAAAACTCTTCCAGTTGCACTACAAGGTCTCATGGGAGAAGCAAATTTGAGATATGCAAGAGGTGAAGTTGAATTAGCAACACAAATGTGTATGGAAATAATAAGGTACGAAAGTGAAAAATGATATAAGTTATTAAAAATATATTTTATATAAGCTATTTATGTATTAAATAGACAGGTACCGAATGCTCCAGAACCTTTTCATACATTGTCAATGATTTATGAAAATGATCAGCCAGATAAAGCTTTACAGTTTGCTTTAATAGCAGCACATCTTAGTCCAAGAGATTCTGAACAGTGGGTTCGTTTAGCCAATTCATCATTGGAATCTGAAAATATAAGACAAGCCCTCACTTGTTATTCCAAAGCCATTCAAGCATGTCCAAAAAATATTGAATTATATGAAACCCGTGCAAGACTTCAAGAACAATGTGGAGATAAAAAAGCCTTCATTCATGCCTATTCAAAACTACTTAATCAATTAGGTCCAGAAGATGGTCAAAATATTTTAAAATATGCTAAATTGTTGGCAAAACGTTGCATGCATGAAAATTTATATGATATAGCTTTAGACGGGATGGAGAATATTTTTAAAAAATGTCCACAACTAGTCACTCTTGAAGAAGTTAATGTTATCACTGAACTTCTAATAGTATCAAAACAATTTATTCGATGTTTAGATATACTTACAAAGTATACAACAATATGGATAGAATATGCAGATTTAGATTCACCTAAGTCTGCAGAAGATAAAGAGAGTAAAATCAATAAAATAACCTTCTGTAGTATTCCAGACGATCTTGCAGTTGACTTAAAGGCAAAATGTATTATTTCTTTAATTGAATTAAATGAAATAGAAATAGTCGACACCCTTATACCAAAGTTTCAGATTTTAGAAAATCCAGAGATATCGGGAGATTTATTTTTGGATGTTGCAGAAGCATTTATGAGTAAAAAAGAATTCAAACGAGCTTTAAGTTTACTCGAACCATTAGTTAATAGTGAAAATTTTAGTTTAGCTGCAGTATGGTTAAGACATGCCGAATCATGGGTAGGATGTCATGACTTAAATAAAGCTATAAAATCGTATGAAATAGTAAGGAAACTGTCTCCCCAACATTTAGGTGCGCGTATGGAATTAGCTAAATTATATAAATTAAAAGGTCAATTCAATAAAGCAATACAAGTGTTAAAGCAGGATTTAGAATTAGATGTTCTTGATCCAGGTGTCATTTATGAAAGAACAAAATTATTATTGAAAGTCAAAAGATATAATGAGTATTTTCAATCTGGAATGTTGTTACTTTCAAGGCATTGTGTAACACTTAGATCTAAATTAGAATTAACTGCTTTAAGCAGAACAAGTGGAGTTCGACAGAGAATGGAAATTTTAAACAGAGATCGTTTGTCTCGCGGTGAATCGATACAAGATGAGAATTTGCCTAGTTTTTCCACAAACAATGAACCAACAGATAAACAGGAATTTATTCTGATGCTTCAAATGTGTCGACTTGCTTGTAAACTTAAAAAATATGGTTTACTACAAAGAATTTGCTTCACTGCTCTTACATCAAAAAAATTTTCAAATGAAAATTCTCATATAATGTATCTCTGCTTGATATCATGCATACGTAATAATGATTCTTATGATGGTTTTAACGTCGTTCGAGAATTAGTCAGGAGTCGAAAAAAATCGAAAACTTGGAACTTACTAAATATTATTATTCAAAGAGCTGAAGATTCAAGGCATAATAGATTCATGATGAGACAGCTTGGAAAAGAAGATGCATTTTCATATCTACATGTTTTACATGCGAACAATTGTCTTGTTTCTGGAACTTATAAATATGCATTAAATGACTATATCTCTTTATTTAAAGTTAAACCAAGTGCGTTATTAGCTTTACTTGTTTCAGTCACACTCTTACAAATGGCATGTCAGAAGTTTTCAGCAAAGAAAAATCAATTAGTTATCCAAGGTAAGTGTACTTTATGATTGAAATTGCATTTAAAAGAATATATATGATAAAATATTAATTATAATAAAATAAAAAATTAAAACCATTTTCTTAAATTGGATTATAAAATTGATTTTTCAGCCATTGCATTTATGAAAACTTATATTAAATTAAGAGGGGATCAAGTATCACAAGAAACCAACTACAATATGGCCCGGACTCTTCATCAACTTGGTCTTTTGCCCAGTGCTATACACTTTTATAAATTAGTTTTAGAATCCCTGGCTCCAGAACTTATTGAAAAAAATGCAAATCTATTAGATTTAAAAAAGGAAGCAGCTTTCAATTTGCATTTGATATATATGCAGGCCGAAAATTACCAATTAGCTAGAATGTACCTTGAAAATTATATAACAATTTAAAAATAATAATAAAATAAAATTTTTATTTATAATATTAATTTTTTATACTACTTTGCCTTATTGTCCACAAATATTATAACTAAGTCAAATAATTTACCAATTTTATTTAATTCATTATACTTACACTTGATAGAAGAATCATTTAAGTTTCTATATTCCTATTTTAATATGACTACTACTATTACAATTAGTTTAGTCTATTTTATGAATGTTTAATGAAAATATATGACTTGTAATCGTTTTTATCTACTTAAATTCCAGATTGAAAAAAGAATTTGATTAATTACATTACATTTTATTTTCATATTTATTAAGGATTTATGACAAAAATTATAAAGTAATAAATATGAGAATATAATTTTAACACTTAATTTATTACTTTAATAAACATTTAATATTTATATTGTATTCTTTATTTTTTAAATATTAAAAATTTCAAAATATCATTATTTAGATCATTTATTTTTGTTTTTATAGAATATGTCTGTAACTTTGGATTCTAAAATTAAATTTAGACAACTCTGTAATTTATTTGAAAATATATATGTAGCAAAAGGATCTCAAAAATTCCAAACGCTACAACAATTTCTACGAGAATGTCACATCCTTGCGTATAAAATAAAAGCTGATAAGCCAAACACGGTAATATAAAATCAATGTCTTCACAAGCATTCAGGAAAAAATATTTATATCTAATAATTCTCTTGGATAATATTATATTCTAGGATACATCGTTATTTCCAATATTTCGACTAATAATGCCAAATTTAGAACGTGAAAGAGGTCCCTATGGATTGAAAATAAAAAATTTGAGTAATTTATATATACGAATATTCTACTTTGGAAAGAAAAGTAGTAATGCAGAGAAATTAATAAATTATAGGTAAGAATATGAATAGATTTTTTAATTTAATTCTTCTAAGAAGTATAAAATAATTTGAAAAATTATTATAATTTAATGTGGTATTTAATATTATATAAATAAATTCTTCAAAAATGTATGTGAACAGATTATTATAAATTTAGACTAATTTTATATCCTTCATATAGAAAAAAATTGTGGAATAAAACATTAATTACATACTTTCAACATAAACAATATGCATTGTTTTTTGTATACTTGATCGTAATCGATTTAATCTTATCTCTTAATAATATTACTTATATATACATATCTAAATTAAAAATTTATACATATATATTTGATATTATAGAAAGCCATTAAATATACCAAATAAAAATGATGACTTTGCAGAAAGAGAGCTTTGGCTTATGCGTAATCGTCTTCAAAATGATGATTGCTTGACAATTCAAGATATTAATATATTTCTTGATGATGTTGCCAAATACAATGAATTAAACTATAAAAAAGATGAGCTTTTCATTCACATTATACGTAAAATAAATGCGATAGAATTAAAATGGCTAACGCGAATTCTTTTAAAAGATTTGAAATTAAATTTATCACAAAAAAAAATGTTTAAAGGTAAATTAAACTATACTAAATAACTATATTAAAAATAACTTACACTAACTTTCATAACTTGTATATAATTATTACTTAAAGTTGATTCGATAAAAAGATTTATTTTTAATTAAAGCCTATTTGTTTCAATTTGTTAATCAAAATATACTATTTTAAAAGCAATTATATTAAAAATGTAGCTATGCATCCGGATGCCGGAGAATTCTTCAACGTAACATCTAATTTACAGCGAGTTTGCGATAGATATTCGACTTTACATTCTGAAGAAATAGATATTCCCATTCAAATAGAAATTTTTTCTCATATTAAGCCTATGCTGTTGGAACGACTTAAAATAGAACAGATTGGGCAACTATTTACTGAATGTCAACAATTATACGTGCAAATCAAATTCGATGGAGAAAGATCACAATTGCATATGAAAAATGGAAAATATAAATATTTTTCAAGGCAAGGCTACGACATTACAAATAATAGTAGTTACGGTGAATATCCCGATTCAGGTACGAAAAATTTATTATTTGAAGAGTATGAAATTTAGTATATATGTTAAACAAATAAATATATATTCACAAATAATTGTTCCTTCGCTTTATTGAATTGATCATTAGAAATAAATTATAATTTTTTAGATGAGCCAAATAAAGGTGTTAAATAATAATTTTTAAATATTTATAATCATATATAATCTAACGCAAACATTACAATAAACAATGTTCATTAATTTTACGGCGTTTTAAGAATTCGTTTATTATTACTTATTAATTATACTTTTTAATTATATTGAATCGACGTTTTATATTTTTAAATAATTAATAAAGTTAAAATCATGAAATATTTCAGGAAGATTCTTAACTTCTAATATAGCCCTGCTATTAAATAAAAATATTCATACGATTATTCTCGATGGTGAACTAATGGGATGGCACAAGAGAAATAAAAATTTCGGATCGAAAGGATATAGTTATGACGTTAAAAAATTAACAGAAAAAAGTAATTATCAGCCATGCTTTGTAGCCTATGATATTCTCATATACAATGATGAGCATCTTATAAATAAAGTTTACTCAGAGCGTTTAAATTATTTAAAGTCTGCCTTCACTGAGAAAGAAGGTATCCTGATGATGTGCAAAACAAAAACAGTTTCCAATGTGTAAGCCAACATTAATTACATCTTACCACGCAAAATTTTCTAATACATATTTTATGTATACAATATTTTATGTATATATACACTTAATTTTATGTTTATAAATTTTACTATTATAAAAAAGTAATTTTTGATAATTGTTATTATTATATTAGAAATTAATAGGTAATGCATAATGGATATAATTAAAATCATTTTTCATATCCTTTCTATGTCTAATGACAAATATAATTTGGTTTAAAATTGATTTATTATTTAAATACTTTATACATTTTTATTAACATTTAAATAATAGGTAATAAAATATAAATAAGTGTTTTTAATATATGATTTAATATTATAATTTAAATTTTAAAATAATAATAATAAAATAGATAGAAACTAATATTAATGAGTAATAGATACGTACACAATGATTCTAAAATATTTATCAATTTAATACAGATTTGAAAAATATTTTTTATTCACTTAAATTTTGTCAAAAGAACAATTAAAAAAAAAAATATGAATACAAAACTAAAATATAGATTAATGTTCCAAAATATCATACGGCCAAATATTTATTACATTCGACTATTGTATATAAGAAATATCAACAATTTTTATTTTGCCATTAAAACTATTTAATAATTATATTTTATTTTAGCAACGAAATTGTAGATGCATTTAATGTTGCATTGGATAATAACGACGAAGGCATTGTTATTAAAAAATGTAATGCTCTTTATAAACCGAATGTTCGAGAAAAAAGTGGATGTTTTAAAATAAAAGCTGAAGTATGACACATTATTAATAACCAAGTTAATAGATGTCAGGATGGAGGTTTAAGATGTTTTTTGAAAATTTGTTGTAATATACAATTTTAATACTAATATTGCTTTAAATTATAATATAGAATTATACATAAATAAAAAAAATTATGTCATTTCAATCACTTATATTAAAACGATATTTTACTTACAGAATGCTATTATATATTTAATTAATGCAATAAGTAATTAGTTTACAATCAATTTATTTATTAATTAATTATTTATTTTTTAATATAATATATTAAAAATAACTGTCAGTCTAATTTAAAAGTCAATCAATAAATATAGTTAAACGTGTATTACAAATTCATAATATTTTTCTCATGCTTCATTATTTATCAACAAAATTGATCATTTTTAGTATTCTGATCAACTCATCCAAGACTTAGATCTAATTATTCTGGGAGGTTATTATGGTGAAGGTGTTCACAGTGGACAAGTAAGCAGTTTTTTAGTCGGGGTGGCAAATTCATGTATAAACAAATCGAAGTTACCATCAAAATTTTTCGCCGTCGTCAAAGTTGCGTCTGGTTTAAGTGATGCTGATCTGAAGATAATTCAAAAGAAATTTAAGCCACATTGGATGGACAAAAAGCCAATTGGAATTGTCGGCCCTACTGTAATAACAAGTTTACTTAATATTTTTAAATTTTTGTTAAATTGTAAGAAAATTTATCTTTTTCTAATAACTATAGTGATATATAAATTAGTGTATCATAATATTTCTATATTTCAATTTCATTTACATTACTTAATTTATGAATAATGTTATTATACAGTATATTTATAAGAAAAAATTTTTTACGCTTTATAAAATATTGTTAATATCTTTTTTTATAAAAATCGATAATTTTTTCATTCTTAAGTTTAAAAATTAATAAATATAAATTATTTGAAAATCATCAACATTTAAATGAAGTACGAAATATTATATTAACTTAAAATCATTAAAAAAACATAATTAAGATAAACATTGAATTTTCAGAAATCATTGTTATGAAAAAAAATTACACTTTTATTTCTATTGATAATCATAAATATTTTACTATAGAAAAATGATATCTATAACAGTAATATATTGTAGTACGAAATATTTTTCTTTGTCTTAAAAAATGTTTAAAAAGTATTTTTAAATTTGAAATCACATAATATAATTATATAAAATAAAATTATATAAATTTGATTAAAAAAATATAATTTTCAAAACCAATTAATTTCAGTCCCAACTTCCGGATGTTTGGATATCGCCAAGAGAATCTTTAATCGTACTACTACGTGCAACAGAAATTATCAAAACAAAAGTTTATCCTCTCGGTTACAGCATGCGATTTCCAAGAATTTTAAAAATTAGATTAGACAAATCTTGGTTTGATGCCTGTTCTTTAAATGAATTTAGCACTCTTATTAAGGTAATTTCAATATTAGTATATAATTAATTTTTTTAATTGATATATTTAATAAATTTTAATTCTTTATTTTTTATATGAATAATATGGAATTGAAAATTTTATTAATTTCAATAATAATAATACTAAAATAATTAAATTGACGGTCACTTAAATCTTTAATTAATTAAACTATAAAATATTATTTTATGTTATAATTTCTATTTATTATTATTTAAAATTTGATGAAAAAATAAAATAAATTAAAATATATGTTATTCGTAATAACTAGATTGTAGAACTATTGTAATTTTAAAAATGATTGTACGTAGTTTAAAGATAAATTCTAACTATGAGATAAGAATATCTATATTATTGACATTAACTTTATTATTCAATTAAATATTGTCAATAATTTAATAGTTTCGTTAACATTATAAATTGTATAAGTTTTATCTTACTTCGAACATTTATTTGATATAATTAATTTTATAACTAATTCCACTGTACGAAAATTAATATTGAAACAGGATAAAAAAGTAGTGCAAAAATTAACAAAAAGAAAAGTAACAACAGCTGATATAGATGATGTGATAGATAATGAAAAGTGTAATACTGGAAAGTCTCTAGTATCTTCATTAAAAGTCTATGATCCTTTTTTTCATGCGAAAAAAGAAGATATAGTCCCAATATCACGTTTATTCGAAGGTAAAAAATTTTGCGTAATCAATGGGGATGACGAACTGAGCAAGAATGATATAACTGTGCTTTTGAAAAGGCATATGGCAGAAGTACTACAAAATCCCGGGATAGATACGTTCTGCATATTAGTTGGAAATCCTGAAACTGTAAGTCCATAATTACAAAAAATAATTATGAAATTACATCTATCTACATTGATTTAAAGATTTTTCGAGCTTATTAAATAAGATTATATAATTAAGAAAAATATTTTTAACTATTTAATTTAATTTCATTATCTAATAATATATCATATTAGTATCATTATAACTTAATAGTATATGTAATCTGTAACTAATTAATACAAGAAATAATTGTTGAATAATAATTAGTTAAAACTAAAATTTTTATATTCTTTTACAAAAGTGAGATATATTTTAAAATCTAATTTAATTTAAATTATGTCTTAGTAGAAAGTAGTAATGAATGTGTATTCGATTATGTGTTCATTACCAATAATTAATTTTGTACAGGTACTTTGTATTAAAAGAAAATTATATTTAAAATAATTAAATGTTTCATTTGTCACTACAAACAAAGTAAGAAAAAAAGCTCAAAATTTATTTTTCTTATTATGAACCATTGAACCAATGAACCATTAATTTAAACAAATTTTTGCTGATGTGTAAATGTAGATAATCATATTTATTATAATCAGATTATAAGAAATATTCTAGATTATTAATCTTCTAGATTTTGTAAAAGAAAATATTAATTGTTCGTATTCTCGTATATGTTTATTTTTTTATACGTTTTAATACCCATTTGGAAACGCTACCATAAAGTTTGTTACAATAAATTTTTTCAGCTGAAAGCACAAAATATAATATTGAGCAATAAATACGACGTAGCAAAGCCAATCTGGTTAAAAAGAGTAACAAGATCAGAGAATCTTTCGAAAATACAAGAATTTTATCCTTGGGAGTTGTTTGCTTCATGTCCCGCAACTAAACGAAAGCTAGAAGATATCTATGATCAATACTTTGATAGTTACATAGAAGACACCAATGAAAAATGTCTCATGAAATCTATAGAAAAAATTGATGAAATGGTTAATATTTTATCTTATTACAGTAATTGATTGAATAAAAAGTAAAATATTAAATATAAAAATTAAACACTTTATTCTTTATTTATATTTTACAATTTTCTGTAATAAATGTACTATGCATGCTATTCTTCTTATTATTTTTTTATAATATATTTTTAATATATAACATCATAACGTAAATATGAAATATAATTAATGTAAGCATTTTTTATTTTTACTTACTTTTTTAAAATTTGACTTAATTAATTTCTAAAATATATTATATGAATAAATGAAACACGCCATACACATAGTACAAATATATTCAAATTTTCAGCTTGAAGACAAGAGCGAACTTTCTTTATTAGAAATGAAGAAATTAGATGAATTAATGTTTGAAGGTTCAGTGTCGCCATTTTCAATTTTCCGAGGAATAACTGGTTATTTTTACAAAAAAGATGATATCGAAAAATTTTCATTTAAGTTTATGAGCGGAAGAGAATCAAAAAAATTAAATACGAGCATTGATTATGTTTTTGTTGCTGATGATATTTCTGTAGATGCTTTACAAAAAATTAAAGGTGATTTAAGTAATATATATAATAATACTCGAAAATCAATTTTAATTATAAGAACAAAATGGATTTGCGATTGTTTTACAAATCGAGAACTGTGTTCGGTAAAACATTATACTTTGTGATATTTCTTTATAGTATTTATTTATTCTATTAATTGTACTTTTGTTATAGTCGTAAATATTATAAATTGTACATTCGATAATTTAAGATTAATTTTTGTTATAAATATAACAATTTAGCAACTGAAAAAATAAAATGTATTTTCTTGTAATATAAAAAATCTGATTTTTTGTAAATGTGAACTTCTAAAATTACTTCGATAAGATGTAGAGAAATATGAAAAATTAACTGGTTTTATATTTAAATATATGTATTTAAATAAGTAATACTGCAATAAAAATAATAATTTATAAATAAAGCAATAAAAAAATATGTATTTAATTAAGATCTTATCCGCACAATACATTATATTATATATAACAATACATTATATTAAATATAACAATTCTATAAATAGAGGCATATGTGTATTTTGCTAATATGGGATTATTGTTAGAAAAAAAATTATAATGTTATTTACTATGGAAAACATTTTTTATATTTGAAAAACAAGATAATCATTACTTCAGTCGAAACTTCAGTATTTTTTTTTTAGTAAAAATTTTTTATTTATTTCACTATTTTATTATAATCATTTCACTGTTTCACATAATCAAAGTTACGCGTAAGGTAAATATACGTTTTTATATTTAAAAAGATTGTCACAGCTTAGCTTTCCTTTGAAAACGTCAAAAAGCCTCTAAGTGTAATCGAAACGGAAAAAATAATCAACTCTGAGTGACATGTTCTCGTTGGTAGTAACTGTAACTTTAGAAATAGATCGGGTCACTTTGACTCTCGTATTTTGGTTTTCCAAGAGCCAAAAAGAGAGAAAGACACTTTAAAGCCAGGAGCATTGCGTTGTACTGACAGCCAGCCAATTTGCTCATTTAACAGGCTTTTATGAATATATTATTGTAGTCGTTTGAAAGCATATGTAAAAAAAAGATTGATATTATAATATATATCGTGTAAAAACTTCCTGTGAAAGATATATTATTACAAAATACAAATAAAAAATAAAACACTAAATATGGACAATAAAAATAAAACATTATTAAACGCAAATAATATTTCTTCATCACGGGTGATAAATTTAAAAATTATGTTCCAATTCTTCGTTATATATTAATATAATCCTTCGTTAAAAATTAATTGCAATTTTAACGAAATTAAACTATTTAACTATAATTAAAAATATTAAATTTTATAAACAGACAAATTAATATATCATACATTTTTTTCAAATGATGATGAAATAGAACCTGTAACAAATTTAGAATTATTTGTTTTTCATAGATAAGGTGCTTGACAAAAAAACGTAAAAATGATAAATTGTAAGAAAATACACTTTAACAGTAGAATATTAAATTTATCAATTTTTTGCTGGATTACGTATCGATCATAACATTATTTTTTATAACCAATTAACTTAACATACAAATATGTTTATTTATAAAAAATAATTATTAATTTAAAATAAATAAATTATATTACTATGAAGTTGAATACAATTTTAATAACAATTACGATAAATATTAAATTATGATAATTTTAAACTAAGAATTTCATAAAAAAATCGAATAAATTAATGAAAAAAAAAAAATTTATTATTAGCCTCTGAAGCTTACCTTCATGTGATGTATTTTAATTGATGTAACTATTGAATTCATAAATCTTGGCAAAAATATAAATAAAGAATTTGTTGAGCTTTCATTATGCTTCATATTCTAAATTCATATTAATTTCAATTAAAAAAAAAGAAATTAATATTATGCGTATTTGTTCATTTTATTTATTATAATAATTATTTATGTTCTTATTATAAGATTGAATTATCTTTAAAAGATGTCAGATATTTGTCAAACATACTCGTAGATAGTATTTTATAGTAAATTCGTATTTTTATAGTAAACTTGTTCTTATTATAAGATTGAATTATCTTTAAAAGATGTCAGATATTTGTCAAACATACTCGTAGATAGTATTTTATAGTAAATTCGTAAATTTTATAGTAAACTCGTAGATAGTAAATTATACATGCTACTGTGTGCATTACTATGTCATAGATATTATGTCATATTATGTCATAGATAATTAAATAGTAATATACGTAACTTTTTTTTATAATAATTAATAGCTCGTTAAAACATATAAGAAAGAATATTAGTAAATGTAATAGAAAATTTATAAACATTTCATTATTTTACTATAGTTCTTTATTCCAGAAATTATCGTTAATAAAACTAATTAATAATTAACTTCGAAAATGTATTTATTGATTAAATCTATCCTATTTTCATATGGATATACACATAATTTATTAATGTTGTATTTATTAATATAAAACATAATATATTATACATACATAATTATTTATTTTTATTTTCATTTTATTTGACAACATATATCATTCTATTTATATATAATTTAGCACACAGATTCATTAATCTTGAATTAAAAGAATACTTTGATTATAAATGCAACACAAATTGAAAAAGTAGTTTTCTCGGAAATTACATTTATTTTATTCACATTTATTAATGTTAATATTTAATTTAAAATTTTACATGTATATTTACAAATATTAATGTGAGCAAATGATGCTCTTTATATTTTGTCTTATATATAACTAAAATCCAAAAAAACACGAAATATAATTCTGACATCATTAAATTGAAGTATACATGCTTAGTTTCTGAAAGTATTAAATTGTGATTAAATAGTTATTTTTTTCTGTATGCATTGGAACGTAATGCATTTCCCGTTATATAATGCGTGATAAAATTTTAAAATAAGTTTTTTTCTATTAACACATTCAAAAATTAAAATTTGTTGCATAAATTTATTTAATTAATGTTGCTTTTAAATTTTTCTCAATTTTATTTGTATTATTTATCACTATAATATAAATTTAATGCTAAGTGAAACCATTGATGGATAACAAAAGATAATTCCGGCTCATTATAACTAAGAATTTTTCATTGTTATTTTAATTATTAAAACTTGGATTAATACATTAACTGACTTTCATTTTTTTTCTTTTTTTGAAAAGCACAGGTCGTTTTCGTATTAGATAACGAAATTTATAAATCAAACAAAAATTATCGACGAAAACGTAAATGCCATTAGAATTTCAAACAATGGTAGAACGAAAGCACGGGATGTCAAACGACAAAATTGAATTTATATTTCTAATAAACAGTAGGCTTTAAAACTCCTTACGGTCTTATTTAAAACGACACAACACATGAAATCCAAGAAGCGCCTCTTCTATTTTATTTATCCAATTTGAAAGGAACAACTTGGCTGGCTCGCAACCGCACATTGCCTCGTTAGAACGTCCATGCACGCGCATACGCGTACTTATACATAGAATGTCATTCTCAGGGCGGTTTCCACTTATAGACCCGTCAAGCCGCCGCCTGGACGCGTATTAATTGAGTTTTGGAGTTTTCGCCTCCTGACCGTCCTCTCCCAAGCGATAATAATTTAACGACGTGACTCTCACCTCGTCAACGCTTCTCGCGGCTCCTTATGTATCTTGATCTCTCACGCGAGCGGCTTCCCGCTGGCTGCGCACAACCGACGAAAGACGTCGCGGCTCCGCATGTAGCTTGATCTCTGTAAAAAAGACGTCTAGAATGACTCTCTTTATCTCGATATGCGCTGTGCGCGTCAAGCTATAAGGCGCGATTATTATGGCTTTGGCCAATCTGGCGGTTAGTCGGACTCGGCGGGCACCCACTCCGGTGCAAAGTGATGGTTGAAGTTTATTATGCGAGCTATTGGGAAAAATCGCTATTCAATTATTGTTACAGAAAAAATGAAACTTAGCCTGTGTAGTATCTATTACGGAAACGATCATTTTTAATGTTACAATATTAAAGACAGACATGATTGTTTCTAACAATATTTCTCCAATCTAAGCTATTGTTTCTAATAATATTTCTCGTTCATTTTTTTACATTACACTTCGTGAAAATTTAAGCCTATATTGGCAAAACAGTTTTTCTTATTTTTGTATTTTTCTGGACATAAGCTACATAAATATTATCTATTTACGTGCGAACTCCCCATTCTTTTGCTCTTTTGTTTATTTTGACTTTTCACTTATCTTCTTGTTATACTTATTGTTATACTCTCTCTCTCTCTCTTTCTCGCTCTCTGTCTCATTTATGTAAAATTATCAATAATATCTTTAGTTTATACATTATATATTGCATCTCAAAATGTTGTAAACATATTTATTAAACTCATTTCAATAATATATATATATCCCATTTCAAATTTATATTTACTTGCAAATTACATTCATGTATAATTTGATGATTTATTAATAAAAAATTTAAATAGATTATAATTTTATTTCATGACAAATTTATCTGAAATAAATTGAGTAATAAGAAAGTACAACTGTATATAAACAATACAAGTAACTATGCAAACTTAAAAATTACTATGAACGACTAATTAATAATAATAATAACTAATTACTAACTTTTTATTAAATAAAAATTAATTCCCAGTTATTTGACTCATCGGAATTCATTTTTAAATCTTAAGGATTTTGAAAAATTATCTAATGCAATTTTCATTTTTTTTGTTCCGTTTTTTTTGTTTGGTTTTTGTTTCGTTACTATTGAATATATTGTGTAACTGCTTATCAGCTATTTTATCTCAAAAAGAAGTAAACTATATTTTTAAACAAATTTAACTAATAATTAATTATAAATCTTTATAAACTTGAATGTAATTTTAATTTGAAATTTCATTTTATAAACACATATATTTAATTTTTAGATCGGCAAATATTTTAATATTTAAATATTATTATTATAAAATCATTACCTTATTCAAAAATATTTTCTATTTGTATTTTTTACTTAATATTAAGTGTTATTGAAATAATTAAAATTAATTAAAGTAGAACTTCTATATTTAATATTAATATTACCCTATTATATAACTAAATTTTTTTTCAAAAACTTTAAATTGAAATACTTTAACTTAAAATTTAACTTTATTAATAAAAATAAAAAAGAAATGATGTATTCTAACTATTATCTAAATTATAA